AGGGCTGCCACAGGTATCCGGCCACACTTTTCTGAGGGAAGTTCAAATAAAATTCACCCTGATCTCCTTTCCCAGAATCTCCTGCCTTCTTTGTTCCTCAAAATGGAGATGCCATGTGGTTTCTCAAATTCCAAAACACTCAAATAAGAGTTTCACTGCACTGTGGAGATGTCTGTAGCACGTGATGTCCTATGCAGAAAAGGTGGAAATGTCGGGCATTTCCTGTGCTCCTTCCCACCACCCTGCTCCTTCCCACCACCTTGCTCCTTCCCACCACCCAACCATCCAGGGAGGTTGACAGTGTTTCCTAAACAACACTATGGCTTCGCTTACAGGCTTCAGGGACAGGGGGACTGATTTCGCCACCCCCTTCACCAGGTGGCTATAAGAGTCCAAAGGCTGGAACTGTGACCTTAGCTCAGTCCCTAAATGACCGACCGAGTGAACTGGACCCGGCAACGTCCTCTCCCAGCAGAGAAGAGAACATGTGCCCCTGGTCTGACTTCCTGAAGCTTTATGAGGCCTGTCAAAGGTTGGGTGTTTTGTCATTGCTGCCACAAGTAGGGGATCCAAACTGCTATTTTTATCATTTGCTATCTCTCCACTTAAAATAATTGAAGGTTTGGGAGGGGTAAGAGGACAAATGACTCTCTCTTTCTACCCCCTCCCCTTTTAATTTCTACTCATCTGTTAGAATCTGTGGACAAGTTTGCAGTTTGGTTAATTCCCCTAATTTGCGCACGTGGGATGTGATACCCCGGAGGTGAGAAGATCTGTGACTCAGGAGACACCTGTCAGACCACACAAAGAAGGTCTGTACCCACTTAGAGGGAAGGGAGTGAGGAGGGGACTTCAGATAAGGAAGTTTGTAGTCAGAGGTCCCTGTGTGGCTGCCCCAAGGGGCTCACAGAGTCACTGGCAGGAAACTGTGGGAACGTGAAGGTGTGGGCTCAAGGCGTGTGCTGGGTAGATCCTGATGAAATACCAGGACTTCTGAGGCGGGGATCACTTAACATTCCCCAGTCTACATACTGTCCTCAGTAATGCGTATAAGCCTTTTAACAAAGTCTTTAATTCCACAAGTAAACTTGGACTTAACATTTCAATGAAACACATAGTTTCTAAAGTAAAGAAATGTATGGATAGAGTTGAGAATGGAAGCATTAATATATTGATGGCAGTAACTGGAAGGACCTTCCTTGGAAGATTGCAGCTTGAGATTTCCCTAAGAAAGGAAGGCGTGAATGTATAAAAGCTCTTTGCAGAGCTGAGGTTTGGCTGTGAGGAAAGGAAAAAGGAAGGGTATGAGTGAACTCTGGACTCTTAAAATAGAACGGAAGGAGCTTGGGACCAGAATATACAAATATGAAAGAAGAACCAGGCCTGATGGCCCCCAAATTCAGCATATGTCAAAAATACCTGCTAAAACTTCCCTGCTAGGAAACAACAAGGTTTCTGACACAAATATGAGACAATGCAAACATGTATTTATTTTAGGTTCTAGACAAATGGTTGTTTTATATTATTCCCTGTGCTTGTTTACTATTTCAAAATTGTATAATTCAGAAAAATGTGCAAGGAGAAATTGAAAATAAAAGTACCCAGAAATACATTGAAATGCTGTGCAGCTGTTAAAAAAAAAAAAAAAAAAACTAAGATCTCTGTGTTCTCAGCTGGAAAGATCTCCAAGAAACATTGTAGGGTTAAAAAAAAAAACAAAAGCAAGCTTCAGAATAGTATATATCACTCAGTCCTATCCATAGGAAATGCATTTTTGTTTTTCTTTTCCGTTTTTGGCCAGGGCTGGGTTTGAACCCGCCACCTCTGGCATATGGGATCAGCGCCCTACCCTTCTGAGACACAGGTGCCGCCTCCAAATACATTTTTTTAATATAAAGGTCACTACAAAAGTTTTGAGACAGACTGTGTTAGGGTCCATTATTTCACTTCCAAGAAACACCACTGACAGCGTCCTTTCTGATTCACCTGTGTAAGTTTCACCTTGGTCAGCTTACCTGTGTCGCCGGGAGGGCTTCACGTGTTCCTCTCCATGCAGATCTTACATTTCGTGATTTCTGTATCTCAAAAATTTCATAATGATCCATGTACGTGCTTATGTCCTCCTACATGCCGAGAGTTAAATCTAGAAGATGCAGCCAACCCTTACCAAGAAGTAGATTATGTGCATTAGACATTTTCCTGTGAAATTTTATAATGAGTAATTTGTATTTATGTCACTTTTATAGTTATAGCAAAGCAACAATGACTTGTAGGAGCGACCCGTGGCACAGGCCTGCTGCTAGTCACCAGGCCCCTCCTGGTTAGTGGGCTGCCTGCCAGGCCAGTGACTGGAGTTTCCACGTGCCCTGTCCTTGTGTGCCCCCCTTCCAGGTTTGACACTTGGGCATCTGTGTGAGGGCCCGTGACAGATGCCAGTGGTGGCGATGACAAGCCCAAAGCCACATTCGTTCTGTTACTTCCAGCTCCTTGCTGCCTTTCCAGTCACCCCCGCGAGAGCTCCTTTCTCTTATCTCTACCAAGCGAGTCAAAAGTTCGTGTTGGTGTGACTGCAGAGAACCGGGCTGGAAACCTTCCTGATAATACCTAAATTCCTTCAGCAGAGTGGTGCCTGGAATCAGGTCAGGACGGCTATGTGGCCTCAGCACATTGTGTACTGGGCAGTTGGATAATAAACCAGATGAAATTTGGCAAATAAAAATATAAAAGACATATCAGGACGTCATCATGGTCCCGTCTGTCTAATAACCCCTCAGCAAGACCATGCAGGCTGCTAAGGAGCAGTCTCTTGTGTGGACCATCAAGGAGTTCCAAAACAGACACAAAGCTAGAAGAAATAAAAAAATAAATACCAAATAATAAAAAATAGGGATCAGGCTGAAGTTTCCAAGACACGTTTATGGCTTTTATAAACAGTTATGCATGAGTTGAATGGCTCTTTGGTGCACACTGGTGACATGAGCTAACTCTGACATTTCTGTCCTAGCTTGTCCTTATTAGCAGAGTTTGCTAAGCACTTTGCGCTGTGCCCTGCTCTATGTTTGAAGGTGATGCACATGGCAGGCTGTCATCTCAATTCCATCTCCTGTCATGAAACCTGAGGAGATGGGTGCGTCCTGCTGCCTTCTCCTCTGACCTCATTCTGCATCCAGCATCCCCTGATTTTTGCTTCACCTTCCCCAACTGAGTTGCAAAAAAAGACATGGGTTCTTACAGAAAATGGAAGGGAATGCAGAAATTTGGAAATGAACCTTACTAAATGATGACAGACTTCCTAATCTATCACTGTTTCTTCCATGCCAAACAGACCACTGTTGATAAACAGGAGTTCCCATATGGGAAACCAAGCAATTTAAACTTCATCTTCACTTTTGCCTGATTGTGCAGCAACTCTGGGGAGAGCAGTGTGTGCTTCAGGTCAGGCTGACACATAGAAGGTTGCCTAAGCCCCTGACTCATGGCTTTCCACTCCCACAGGTAACCAGGTGAGTTTCTCTAAATCAGCCGACGCATTTGCCTTTGAAGAGGACAGCAGCAGTGATGGGCTTTCTCCAGATCAGACTCGAAGTGAAGACCCCCCAGGCTCAGCAGGATCCCCCCCAGATGCCAAAGCCTCAGAGACCAATATGGCAGGGTCCCTGGGGACAATCCAGGTGAGAAAAAAAAAAAAAGCCTTGCGTCTTTGTCTGTCATCATTTCACAGTCTTAAAATCAACAGTGTTCCAGCTGGATTTGCTGAGAGACCCCAGTGGCATCCCTGGATGGCACGTACTGATGCCCTGTCTCACCCTTCTCAGCCCCGGGATCTGTGTACAGTGGCAAAAGCCTCCGGAAGACACTGAAAGAGAACTGCACCCTTTGGCTCCTTTCCCTCCTTCCTTCCTTCCTCCCTCCCTCCCTCCCTCTCTCCATCTTTCCTACCTTCCTTCTTTCCTTTTTTTGAACAGAGTCTCACTTTGTTGCCCTGGGTAGAGTGCTGTGGCATCACAGCTTACAGCAACCTCAAACTCCTGGGCGATTCAAACTCAGGTGATTCTCTTGTCTCAGCCTCCTATTAGCTGGGACTACAGGCACCCGCTACAACACCTGGCTGTTTTTAGGGCTCAGGCTGGTCTCGAACTCCTGAGCTCAGGCAATCCACATGCCTCAGCCTCCAGGATTGCTAGGATTAGAGGCGTCAGCCAGTGCACACGGCCTCTTTGGTTTATGTGCTAAGCAGCTATTCTGCCAGGCAGATACCTTCTATCTCCATTTTTATGGACATAGTAACTGAGTCTCAGGAGATGGGATGGCCTGCCAACAGTCTCCCTGCTGGAGAGTGCCAGAGCAGATGGACTTCAATGCTCCCCGTCTCTCCATACATGAAAGAGTCACCACAGGTTCCCTGGGAGTGGGGAGGAGGCAGTGCTGGTTGTGCACAGGTAGGGAGGCTGGGTTGGCTCTACCTGCTGGTTGGCAGGGTTCACTCTACCCACCGAGCCGCTGCACAACCAACTTCCAGCCAGGACACAGCATGACACTTACCTCTTTCTGCACAAGTCTACAAACCCATGAGTGTGAGGAACAGACACTGGAAAACACACATTTACAAAAAATAACACTGACTAGCACCGGCAAGTACTGCCACACACTGAGGGGTGACGGCACTTTACAGATGTTTCCCACTGGGGGAATCACAGTGCCCTCCCTCAGCATCCACCCTGACAGAGGAGGAACTAGAGCTCTGTTAGGCTGACCGGATGGTCTCCAGGGCACAGCAGTGTCAGCCAGCCCCGGAGAATCCACCTGTGAAGCCACAGTCGGCTCCGAGGGGATTTCCCTCAGCTCAGCCTGCCTGGGCTCATGGAGCTGCCGGAGGGGAGGTGCGTCTAGGAAGAGTTCACTTCTCCTGGCCACGCTGGGATTATGCAAGGGACTGAAATGAGATCTATTTGGTAACGTTTGTTCCTACTGCAAAGCTCCATGCAGATATTAGGGATTGGCATTATGATCCAGGGCCTGTTTCCTGCAGGCACGCTGGTTACTGGTCATCATCGTGCCTCTGTCCACCGTGTCTGAGCAAAGCCAAAGCTGCCAAGGAGGAAACACAGGATGGATCAGGATGACCCTCTCCTAAGGTCAAGCAGAAAAGAACCTGTCTTCTCCTCAAACCATTCTTAAATCAGAAGCTGAGGAATTTACTGTCAGAATAATGCGTACAAATGGTGTGATAGACCGTTTGATGTCGGCACCAAAGCATGGCCTCCGAGACCCGCTGGGGAAGGAAGAATGCTTTGATTGTAGACTTTGGCACAAGGAACGCATGAGGAGTATCTCAGGCCTGCTGTCCGCGCCTTCCCCCCCCCCCATCCTGTGTTTCCTCCTTGGCAGCTTTGGCTTTGCTCAGACACGGTGGACAGAGGCACGATG